TGTCAAACCTCTTCTTTTGTTAACTTGTTGACAAGAGTTAACCTGTCAGCTCTTAAAATGGCTTGCAGTTGCTATCCACGTTCCTTGATGGAAATGTGGAAAGTGTGAGTTACCCCCTTTCACAAAAAATCTTGTCAAGGGTGCTGACTTCAACCTGACTGTCGCTCCAAGGGGGAGAAAAATCTACCTTCTGGAAACTTAACAAGTGGTGAGTATTCCATCATAATTCTGCTTCACAGAAATAAAAGAGGTCAAAGAGACAACCACCACCAAATAAAGAGTTAACACATGATTGTATAACTCAGCAACAGTTTAAAAACATAATGATGTGCGTAGGATGTGAGCTTCAACCACCCAACCAAGCACGTCATTTTATGCTAACCAGCAACTCAATGACACCAGCCAACAGGTTCCCCTGTGGAAGGCATGAAAGATGAACAGAGAGCAGCTTCCACCTGAGACACGATGAAGGGGCCGTGATTAATGCCCCAAAATGTCACTTCCAAAGAGCCATCTCTGAAGTACTGTACCTCAACATCCTACCAGCCACACCCCTCCTGCTTAACGGAACAAGTTCCCGTCTTCATGAAGCTAAGTCATCTCCAAGTATTTTAATTCTGCTGACACACGAATTCATTGTTTTGTTTCAAGCATCCATGTCTCCCCTTGGAGTCCATTAGAGCCTATAAATCAGATCATCCATCTTCTCTGCCCTAGACTCAGAAGAACTTGAGGATGTGCCCCGAGGAAGGTCACTGTGAACGCTGACCACAGACATGAATGAAAAGAAAACATTACGGTAAGTTTTTTCATTCTTTATTCCTCTCATTTAGGTAATGGGTTAACTGGTTAGAAAAAAGGGGTTGGGGTGGGGGAAGGAGGAGGAGGTTCACAGGCATTTTAAGTGCCAAAACCAAAAGTATGCTTTCAATGGTAGTCTAAAGATAGACAGATAAATACACATCCGCAACACACAGACACTGATAAATATATAAGGATTGCCTTTAATAAAGGGGAAGTACGCGGCTTAAACAACAGAGACAAAGAAGTGAAAAGCAGGAACTGTAAGTTTTAGAATAGAAGACCAAAACTATGGCAATTAATGTGAAATTTGCTTTTTTTAAAAAAACTATGAGTATCATGAATAAACTGCCTCCCCCCGAAGGCTGCCACATATAAAATATTTTTTAAAAGTCACCAAGTACCTGCTAATTTGCATAATATTTTTCAGATAGGATATTAAAAATTCCCTAATTATGAAATGGCTGCTTCAAACCAAGAGGTGAGTTGGGTTCTAATTATATGAGGATATACTAATATAGTACAGATCTGTTCATATAAAGGAGGCCCTTAATTTTGAAAATCAGTGTATGTTAAACTGGTGAAACACAGCAGTGACATTTTTGTACAGTTATTATTATTTTTTTAATGACTAAAAGTTTGACTTATTGTCTTATCGGCTAACAGTCCATTTTTGGCTAGTATGTTTGACAAAGGGATGACAACAGCTACTACAGGAGAATGAGAGAAGGCCAAAAAACTCAAATACACAAAGTAACCAACCCTCTTCTTCCCAAGGAGGAGAGAAGAGAACTCACAGCAGGCCCCCGCCCTAGCAGAGCTCATGTCCCTTGTGACCTCCCAGCAGAGGATCATGTCGATGCCCCTAAAAGCAGCCATTATGGAACCAACTGGTCCCAGTGGAAAGGGGGCAATGGCTCTCCTATGCTTACTGCAGCTTCTGCTTCTTTTTTTTGAAACACAGTTTCACTATGTCACCCAGGCTGGAGTGCAGTGGCGCCATCTCAACTCACTGCAACCTCCACCTCCTGGGTTCAAGTGATTCTCCTGCCTCAGCCTCCCTAGTAGCTGGGATTACAGGCACCCACCACTACACTCGGCTAATTTTTGTAATTTGAGTAGAAATGGGGTTTCACCATGTTGGCAAGGCTGGTCTTGAACTCCTGACCTCAACTGATTCACCCACCTCATGGTGAATCTCCCCATGATTCACCTCAAAGTGCTGGGATCATAGGCGTGAGCCACTGCACCCAGCCTACCGAAGCTTTTGAATGTTGACTTAACTGCATAAAAAGTAATCCAAGTCTCCATGAGGAAATGAAACAGCAAAAGTTAGCAGACACATTGCTTAGACTATGCCAACCCCCCAAAATAGGATGTTAATAACAGACATAAAAACAGATATACCAATTACGTTATAATACCTCTCATTTATCCAGAATCCTAACCATGTTCAAATAAATTAAAATAGTCTGTAACAGTCCAAAATGGTGATTAATTTGCTTAATAATTACTTTGAGGTAATACAAAATCCATAAACTCACAATTCAATCTTTTAAAATTAAAAGCACTTTCACATGCAATGTATTCTCATCCTCTGTAAATTATAAACTCATCTATTGAAAATTAAAAATTGTTAACCAGAATAATAGAGAATTTCCTCTAATTCCAGATGGCTAGGAGTTTGTTCATGTATTTTTCTGTATACTATCATATACAGAATAACTTTTTTCAAGATACCGTACAAACCAAGCTCTAAATAGCTTCCCATTTACTAAGAAAAAAATAGAGCCCTCTAAAACTCATGATAGGAATGATTAACAATTTAAAAGGAACAAGATAAACAATCATCTGCTAATTTGTGACTATATTTTCACACATTTTCATAATTAACTAATTTCCAAGGGTGAGCTATATTCGTATTTTTTTAAAAAGATTGAATCTGTAATAACTGTACGTATCTATATGGCTTATGAAACAATTAATACACATCCTATACCTATCTCACATTTTATCCTTAAGGTAAGTCTTTAGACTTATATTGTAAGTGTCACAGTATTGTCTAAAATAATCTAAACCATGCTTTACATTGCTTTTATATAGGAGGATACGGTATCGTTTTGGCAATTTTAGTATATTTCGTTTTAAGGCGATTGTTCATTTTTCTTTTCTTTTTTTGGGGATGGAATCTCGCTCTGTCACCCAGGCTGGAGTGCAATGGCACAATCTCGGCTCACTGCAACCTCTGCCTCCCTGGCTCAAGCAATTCTTGTGCCTCAGCCTCCTGAGTAGCTAGGATTACAGGCGCCCCTCCGCCATGCCCAGTTAATTTTTGAATTTTTACTTTCACCGTGTTGGCCAGGCTGACCTCGAACTCCTGACCTCAGGTGATCCACCCGCCTTGGCTTCCCAGAGTGTTGGGGTTGCAGACGTGGGCCACCGTGCTCAGGCAGGCCATTATTCTTTACAGCTTGTCTTCTCTGTTTCTGTCTGGTGGAAACATGGCCCCAGCAATGTCTGACCAGGAGCATGGCGCTCAGGCTGCAAGACTACAGGAACGCAGTCAGTCATTTCTGGGCAGAGGTTCTGCCCTGCCAATCAATCCTGACCCACTGGCCTGGCACAGATTCACAGGGTTTTATTGAGTGTGGGACATATTTCTGACACCAAGGAAAATAAAAAAGAAAGAAACGAAACTCTTAACTAAATGTGACCTTTAGCAATCTTCTATCTTTCTTCCAATAGTTGGCACATTCCCAAAGGTTGGTGCCAGGCTGGACATGGTGGCTCATGACTGTAATCCCAGCACTTTGGAAGACCAAAGCAGTAGGACTGCTTGATACCAGGAGTTTGAGACCAGCCTGGGCAACATAGGGAGGCTCCGTCTCTGCAAAAAATAAAAAATTAGCTGGGCATGGTGGTAAGTGCCTGTAGTCCCAGCTACTTGAAAGGCTGAGGTGGAAGGATTGCCTGAGCCCAGGTGCTTGAGGCTGCAGTGAGCTGTGACTGTGCCACTGCATTCCAGTCTAGCAATACAGTGGGACTCTGTCTCTTAAAGAAATAAATAAATTAATTAAAAATAAATTTTAAAAGTTGACGCCAGACACAAAAACAGATTACATTTAACTGTGGATGTTTTTGTCTTTTTTGTAGATGCTTAAAATTATACTAGATCTCAGCATTTGGGGTCAGGTAAACATTGTGATAAATGACAGTTTGTTTTGCAGCTGGGGATTGGGGTAAGGTAGGAAAATAATGATGGTAGATATAACAACAGAAGCACGTGGAAGTGGCAGAATTCCTTTCAGCCTTGACACATGGAGGAAGAAAGAAACAGGAATGGTGAGGTTTTTGGGACAGTTTTGCACAGACTCCTTTCACCTGGAGTGAGGACTTGAGGTATTTTGGTGCTGTGACTTTAAGCCGGCAGATTCCGCTTCCTCTCCTGCCTTTTCCTTTTCTCTAAGAGATTATCCTCTCACTAGAGTAAAAGCTTCTCTGTAATAGAATGACGCATTGCTAGTACTCTCTACTGATTTTATAAATAAACTGCTTAACAATTTTGTTCAGAACACTTGTAATTCTTTGCATTCACAGAAGAAAAAAATATGTTCTCATCTGAATGGTGAATTTCCTTAGTGCCATGAACATTCAACTAATTTAATATCTCAAAAATTCTCTAAAGAAAATCGGTAAAAATTCCCTTGAAAATGTCAATAAAAAACAATTTACAAGTAGAGACAATGACCACATGCTGTTTTTCTTGTTTTTGTTTTTTTCTTTTGAGAAAGGGTCTTGCTCTCTCACCCAGGCTCGAGTGCAGGGCATGACCACGGCTCAGTGCAGCCTCAAATCTCCTGAGCTCAAGTGATCCTCCAGAATAGCTACAATGACAAGCATGCACTATCATGCCTGGATAATTTCTTTTTCTTTTGTAGAGATGGGGTCTTGCTATGTTGCCCAGGCTGGTCTCAAACTCCTGGGCTCAAGCAATCCTTCAGTCTCGACTTCCCCAAATGCTAGGATTACAGGTGTGAGCCATACCACACCTGGCCAACATGCAGCTTTTAATAGAACATTTTAAAATGCTAAGTGTTAACTGCCACCAATAGGATACTGTCACATAATATTTTTAAAGACATAATTATAAATACTATAAAATCACAGTCTACTATTTCAGAAAATCAGAGTCTACTTACTATTTGTATGTCTCAGAACGGATATACTCAAACACATGGGACACACCAAGCTGGAACTGGTCTGCAATGGGGGTCACCCAGGGATTGTTCTCTGCTTTGAATACCTGCTTCTGACCAGTTAAATCCAAGTTTCCTGGAGGAAAAAAAAAAAAAAAGTGAAGGTCACTTCATCCAATACGGAGCAGGTCTAAGAAGTCCTTCTCAGTAAACACAGCCTAAGTACCCTAAATCAAACCCTAAGTACCTCTCGGATCATTTGATGTCTTTTAAATTTCTTAACCTGAGTCATCACAGGTACACAGTCATGACAGTACCTTGGCCCCAGAAATTAAGAACAAAGGAAGGAAGAAAGAAGACAGATGGAAAAGGGAAGCAGAGCGGAGGGAAGGAGATATTTGCTGCAGAGACAAAAATGACCTGTTCAAGATTAAGACAAGTGATAATATGAAAACCACTTGAAATTCTATCTTGACAATGTCAGTATGCATCACGCCTTGTCCTGGCTGATCTGGACCCAATCTGATCAACACCACTTTTTTCATCAATCAAGACAGCGTATAAATGGAGAAAGACAGGAATGTTACCCAAGTCAAATTGTTGTCACTCAAGTATAAGAGCATAAGCACATCTTGCAATCAGCCCTAAATGAATCTCATTAACATGGCAGTGTTAAAGACTAATGACCTTTTAAAATCATTCCTCATTTCATTCTCCAGCAATCCGTAAGGTCAGATACTAATATTACTTTGTAGGTAAAGAAATGGAAACTTGGGGGCGGAGCAAGATGGCCGAATAGGAACAGCTCCAGTCTCCAACTCCCAGCACAAGCGACACAGAAGACTGGTGATTTCTGCATTTTCAACTGAGGCAAACAGGATCTGGAGTGGACCTCAAGCAATCTCCAACAGACCTACAGCTGAGGGTCCTGACTGTTAGAAGGAAAACTATCAAACAGGAAGGACACCTACACCAAAACCCCATCAGTACATCACCATCATCAAAGACCAGAGGCAGATAAAACCACAAAGATGGGGAAAAAGCAGGGCAGAAAAGCTGGAAATTCAAAAAATAAGAGCGCATCTCCCCCGGCAAAGGAGCGCAGCTCATCGCCAGCAACGGATCAAAGCTGGACGGAGAATGACTTTGACGAGATGAGAGAAGAAGGCTTCAGTCCATCAAACTTCTCAGAGCTAAAGGAGGAATTACGTACCCAGTGCAAAGAAACTAAAAATCTTGAAAAAAAAGTGGAAGAATTGATGGCTAGAGTAATTAATGCAGAGAAGGTCATAAACGAAATGAAAGAGATGAAAACCATGACACGAGAAATACGTGACAAATGCACAAGCTTCAGTAACCGACTCGATCAACTGGAAGAAAGAGTATCAGCAATTGAGGATCAAATGAATGAAATGAAGCGAGAAGAGAAACCAAAAGAAAAAAGAAGAAAAAGAAATGAACAAAACCTGCAAGAAGTATGGGATTATGTAAAAAGACCAAATCTACGTCTGATTGGGGTGCCTGAAAGTGAGGGGGAAAATGGAACCAAGTTGGAAAACACTCTCAGGATATCATCCAGGAGAACTTCCCCAACCTAGTAGGGCAGGCCAACATTCAAATCCAGGAAATACAGAGAACGCCACAAAGATACTCCTCGAGAAGAGCAACTCCAAGACACATAATTGCCAGATTCACCAAAGTTGAAATGAAGGAAAAAATCTTAAGGGCAGCCAGAGAGAAAGGTCGGGTTACCCACAAAGGGAAGCCCATCAGACTAACAGCAGATCTCTCGGCAGAAACTCTCCAAGCCAGAAGAGAGTGGGGGCCAATATTCAACATTCTTAAAGAAAAGAATTTTAAACCCAGAATTTCATATCCAGCCAAACTAAGTTTCATAAGTGAAGGAGAAATAAAATCCTTTACAGATAAGCAAATGCTTAGAGATTTTGTCACCACTAGGCCTGCCTTACAAGAGACCCTGAAGGAAGCACTAAACATGGAAAGGAACAACCGGTACCAGCCATTGCAAAAACATGCCAAAATGTAAAGACCATCGAGGCTAGGAAGAAACTGCATCAACTAACGAGCAAAATAACCAGTTAATATCATAATGGCAGGATCAAGTTCACACATAACAATATTAACCTTAAATGTAAATGGACTAAATGCTCCAATTAAAAGACATAGACTGGCAAACTGGATAAAGAGTCAAGACTCATCAGTCTGCTGTATTCAGGAGACCCATCTCACACGCAGAGACATACATAGGCTCAAAATAAAGGGATGGAGGAAGATTTACCAAGCAAATGGAGAACAAAAAAAAGCAGGGGTTGCAATACTAGTCTCTGATAAAACAGACTTTAAACCGTCAAAGATCAAAAGAGACAAAGAAGGCCATTACATAATGGTAAAGGGATCAATTCAACAGGAAGAGCTAACTATCCTAAATATATATGCACCCAATACAGGAGCACCCAGATTCATCAAGCAAGTCCTTAGAGACTTACAAAGAGACTTAGACTCCCATACAATAATAATGGGAGACTTCAACACTCCACTGTCAACATTAGACAGATCAACGAGACAGAAAGTTAACAAGGATATCCAGGAATTGAACTCATCTCTGCAGCAAGCAGACCTAATACACATCTATAGAACTCTCCACCCCAAAGCAACAGAATATACATTCTTCTCAGCACCACATCGTACTTACTCCAAAATTGACCACGTAATTGGAAGTAAAGCACTCCTCAGCAAATGTACAAGAACAGAAATTATAACAAACTGTTTCTCAGACCACAGTGCAATCAAACTAGAACTCAGGACTAAGAAACTCAATCAAAACCGCTCAACTACATGGAAACTGAATAACCTGCTCCTGAATGACTACTGGGTACATAACGAAATGAAGGCAGAAATAAAGATGTTCTTTGAAACCAATGAGAACAAAGATACAACATACCAGAATCTCTGGGACACATTTAAAGCAGTGTGTAGAGGGAAATTTATAGCACTAAATGCCCACAAGAGAAAGCAGGAAAGATCTAAAATTGACACGCTAACATCGCAATTAAAAGAACTAGAGAAGCAAGAGCAAACACATTCGAAAGCTAGCAGAAGGCAAGAAATAACTAAGATCAGTGCAGAACTGAAGAAGATAGAGACACAAAAAGCCCTCCAAAAAATCAATGAATCCAGGAGTTGGTTTTTTGAAAAGATCAACAAAATTGACAGACCACTAGCAAGACTAATAAAGAAGAAAAGAGAGAAGAATCAAATCGACGCAATTAAAAATGATAAAGGGGATATCACCACCGACTCCACAGAAATACAAACTACCATCAGAGAATACTATAAACACCTCTACACAAATAAACTGGAAAATCTAGAAGAAATGGATAATTTCCTGGACACTTACACTCTTCCAAGACTAAACCAGGAAGAAGTTGAATCCCTGAATAGACCAATAGCAGGCTCTGAAATTGAGGCAATAATTAATAGCCTACCAACCAAAAAAAGTCCAGGACCAGATGGATTCACAGCTGAATTCTACCAGAGGTACAAGGAGGAGTTGGTACCATTCCTTCTGAAACTATTCCAATCAATAGAAAAAGAGGGAATCCTCCCTAACTCATTTTATGAGGCCAACATCATCCTGATACCAAAGCCTGGCAGAGACACAACAAAAAAAGAGAATTTTAGACCAATATCCCTGATGAACATCGATGCAAAAATCCTCAATAAAATACTGGCAAACCAGATTCAGCAACACATCAAAAACCTTATCCACCATGATCAAGTGGGCTTCATCCCTGGGATGCAAGGCTGGTTCAACATTCGCAAATCAATAAACATAATCCAGCATATAAACAGAACCAAAGACAAGAACCACATGATTATCTCAATAGATGCAGAAAAGGCTTTTGACAAAATTCAACAGCCCTTCAGGCTAAAAACGCTCAATAAATTCGGTATTGATGGAACGTACCTCAAAATAATAAGAGCTATTTATGACAAACCCACAGCCAATATCATACTGAATGGGCAAAAACTGGAAAAATTCCCTTTGAAAACTGGCACAAGACATGGATGCCCTCTCTCGCCACTCCTATTCAACATAGTGTTGGAAGTTCTGGCTAGGGCAATTAGGCAAGAGAAAGAAATCAAGGGTATTCAGTTAGGAAAAGAAGAAGTCAAATTGTCCCTGTTTGCAGATGACATGATTGTATATTTAGAAAACCCCATTGTCTCAGCCCAAAATCTCCTTAAGCTGATAAGCAACTTCAGCAAAGTCTCAGGATACAAAATTAATGTGCAAAAATCACAAGCATTCTTATACACCAGTAACAGACAAACAGAGAGCCAAATCAGGAATGAACTTCCATTCACAATTGCTTCAAAGAGAATAAAATACCTAGGAATCCAACTTACAAGGGATGTAAAGGACCTCTTCAAGGAGAACTACAAACCACTGCTCAGTGAAATAAAAGAGGACACAAACAAATGGAAGAACATACCATGCTCATGGATAGGAAGAATCAATATCATGAAAATGGCCATACTGCCCAAGGTAATTTATAGATTCAATGCCATCCCCATCAAGCTACCAATGAGTTTCTTCACAGAATTGGAAAAAACTGCTTTAAAGTTCATATGGAACAAAAAAGAGCCCGCATCTCCAAGACAATCCTAAGTCAAAAGAACAAAGCTGGAGGCATCACGCTACCTGACTTCAAACTATACTACAAGGCTACAGTAACCAAAACAGCATGGTACTGGTACCAAAACAGAGATATAGACCAATGGAACAGAACAGAGTCCTCAGAAATAATACCACACATCTACAGCCATCTGATCTTTGACAAACCTGAGAGAAACAAGAAATGGGGAAAGGATTCCCTATTTAATAAATGGTGCTGGGAAAATTGGCTAGCCATAAGTAGAAAGTTGAAACTGGATCCTTTCCTTACTCCTTATACGAAAATTAATTCAAGATGGATTAGAGACTTAAATGTTAGACCTAATACCATAAAAATCCTAGAGGAAAACCTAGGTAGTACCATTCAGGACATAGGCATGGGCAAAGACTTCATGTCTAAAACACCAAAAGCAACGGCAGCAAAAGCCAAAATTGAC